GGGCTTTCTATTCCAATCTCCGCCGTGACGGGGACACCATTCGCAGCAGCATCAATCTCTACGACATAGAGATTGATTTGCCTACCTTCGCTCGGGTCGCAGGGCTGCCCATCCGTGGTGACGACATCGCAACCTATGGTGGCGATGATTGGATCCTCAACAACGAGGCGGTGGTCATCCGAGAGCTTGGGATCACCAACCTCATCCGTCACAGCGGCGCACCGACGATTCACTCGGCCCCACCGAACAAGCGCCTCCTCCTCTACATCATCACCCGGATTCTCCGCCCCCGGGACAGCAGCCATACCTTGCTCTTCAACGAGGACTTGAAGGCGATTCATGCCATCATCCACGGCGCCTCCATCAATTGGGCGAAATTCATGATGATCCACATGGCAGATTGCGCCTCCATCACCACTGAGCGGAGCTTTCCATACGCCTTCCTCGTCATGGACCTCATCATCTCCGCCGACATCTCCATCGCCGGCCCGGATACGAAGATGACAAAGATTTGGATAATTCAAGACAGCACCTTCCGGAAGAAGTCCGGAGACCGGGACGGCGCAGGCCCAAGTCGTGCACCAGCCCCCGCTCCCACCAAGGCCTCTCTGCAATCCATAGCCGATACTCTGAACCGGCTAACCCTCACAGTGGATGGCATGGGGCAGTCAATCGAGCGGATGGACTGGACGCTGCAACGCCAACACCACGACATGACGGCGTTCTTCCGCGGCATCAACTACGTCCCGCCGCCCTTTGACAGCACCTTCCTCGGCCAAAACTATGAAGGCGAGGACGAGGAGGATAACTCCTATGCTCCATCCTCCTCCCCAGACGAGGCCGACTTTGAAGATGCGGTCGACGGCGATCCCATGGACGTCGAGGACGACGAGGATGCCGATGCTTAGACTTCTCTTTTCTCTCCTTCCTATGATTGTATTTTTTATTTTTTCCATTCCGTTGTATTCCGCATTTCCCTTTTTCATGAATAAAAAGTTTACTTTTACAATTCTAAAGTTTACTTTTAATTCTTTTTGTTAAAGTCAAAAGGGGGAAGATATTAAGGTTATGCATAAATTAAGGGGGAATTTTTTTGTAAAATGGCATCTATTAAGGGGGAACATCTTTTTCAAAATAATCCTCCTATGCATAACCTCGTCTCGTTTGCCATTATCAAAAAGGGGGAAATTGTTGAAACATGGGCTTGTCACGTTTTCGTACTAAAGCCGTGTTCGTTTTTGTAACAGGTTTTGATAATGCCAAACCACCATGATCAAGTCGAACATTGAATATACAAGGCAAAGAACGAAGATAAGAGCAAGAGCTAAACGAAAACCAAGAACGAAGACCTTAATCATAGTATTGAGTCGGTCTTTATTGTGATCAAGACCGACCCAATCTTTACACCTTGGCTCTTTAGGCTAAAAACTCTCATTGCATTTCTTACATCATAAAAATGTTTTAAAACTTGTTTAAGTCATTAAAAACACTTGGTGTTCGCCCAAACCAAAAACCAAGCCATCCAGTGTTCGGCTTTCAGAAACCAGCGTTCGGCTTTCGGTTGTCGGGTTTGGTTTTTGGCATCCGAACCAACCAAGTGGTTTTCAGAATTTTATGATCTGCTTTCACTCTTTGGCATGTTTAAACGGTTCTCCAACAAAAACACTTTGAAAACCATCCCTCGTTTTCTAGTCGTTTGACAAAAACCACGCAAAACGGCGTAAACTTGGCTAGCCGTGGTTTTTAATCAAATGAAGTGATTTTTAAAGTGTCTCACTTGATTCCTTAGCCAAATACATCAAATAAGTGTTTTAAACACTTGGTCTTTATTTTGGAGAACCTTGTTTTTTTTTCGGTCGGTTTTTGCATCGGTTGGCTAGGTCGTGGTTAAGGCAAAAACCACAGGTTTTTGGCTAACCACCCACCCAGCGATGGGAAGAACATCCCATCGATGGGTAAGTAGCCCCTTAGCCAAACCAACTTCCAGAACCATGCCAAACAGCGATGGGAAGCTCTACCCATCGCTGTTCAAGCCTTGGTCCAATATTATCACAAGGCAGAATGCCCTTACCCAGCGATGGGAAGCTTAACCCATCGATGGGAACCCAGCGATGGGAAGGCTAAACCATCGATGGGAAGGCATAACCGTTGGAAGTCATTTAAGGTTGATTCTTTCCTTGTTTGGAAGTCAACCTCCCACCCAGCGATGGGAAACTTGTACCCATCGATGGGTAGGTAACCGTTGGCTTCAAAACTGAAGGAAAATTGGCCTACCAGCGATGGGTAATGCCCATACATCGCTGGGAAGCCAATATCCTGCAGATCCCAAATTTATTCAATCCCTTAAATCAAGCCAATCACCCTTTTAATGCATTGGTCCGTTGGAGCCTTTTTTGGCACTATAAAAAGGGGTGTTTGGGTCTGCTTTTCTCACAAATGCACTTCACAACATTCATACTTTCATTGCATTCAAATATCATCATTTTCCATAGCTTGCTAGAGCCATTTTGTGTGAAGGTTGAGTTGTTCTTGAGCGTACTTAGTTTACTCATAATCTACTCTATAAGAGAGTCTCGTTCTTGAGTGTATTTGTGTTCTTAGACACCTTGAGAGAAGGTACTTCTCTCGGTAGATTCAAAGGAAGGGCTGTTTCCTTTGAAGGATTCGTTGAGGTTCGTGTGACTCGAACTCTCAAGTTGTAACGGTTTGTTAAGCACCCGCAAGCTTAACGAGATAGTAGTGTAGCTCGAGAGAGTCTCTCGGGAGGCTGGATTAGCCACATGTTGTGGTGAACCAGGGTAAAATTCGGTGTGCTTCTTACTCTTTTCTTTACTTCTCGCTTGAATTTTTAATTCCTGCGATTTCTATGATCAAACGCTATTCACCCCCCCTCTAGCGTTGGTCTCTTATTCTAACAAAGGTCAATCAACTTCTAGGCCACCACTCTTTGATGGCACCAACTACTCTTATTGGAAGGAACGAATGAGAATCTACATTCGTTCCACCAACTTCCAATTGTGATTGGTGATCAAAAATGGCGAGGAAATCCCTATGAAGAAAGTGGGAGAAACCATGGTCCCAAAGACCGAAAACGAATATGCTATATTGCGCGGTCAACCCCGATGACTACCGAAAGATCTCTTGTTGCACAACCGCCAAGGAGATGTGGGACAAGCTTGAAGTGACGTACGAAGGTACCGATCAAGTTCGCGAAGCTAAGATCGATTTTCTCACCCAAGAGTACGAAATGTTCCAGATGAAAGAAGGTGAGAAAATTGATGACATGTTTGACCGTTTTTCAAAGATCATCAACGACCTTCATGCTCTCAAAAAGACTTACACCAACAAGGATCTCGTGAGGAAAATCCTACGAAGCCTCACACCCGAATGGAGGTCAAAAGCCGATGCAATCTATGAATCCATTGGAGTCTCCAACGTCACCATCGACGGGCTAAGAGGTAACCTTAAAACCTATGAATCTACTATTCTAACCCCGTCTTTGGATGAACAAAAGAAAAAGGGGATAGCTCTCAAAGCCACCAAAGAACCGGTGGAAGAGGCTTCAAGTGATGGCGACATTGAATTCGGGCTCGTCATCAAGAAGTTCCACAAGTTCATGAAGAAGGAATTTGAGCGGAAGGGAAGGAAGCACAACGGTCCTCCCAAGTGCTACGGCTGTGGCGAGATTGGCCACATCAAGCCAAGGTGTCCAAAGGCCAAACACGGCAAGGATAAGCTTGGCTTCAAGAAGCAAATGGCCTACATCTCTTGGGGTGGAGATTCCGGCGACGAATCAACCGACCAAGAGGAGGACGAAGCTGCAAATCTCTGCCTCATGGCGCACGAAGATCAGAGCGACGATGTCCAAGAGGTATGTAATATTTCTTCAGACTCTTACACTTTTGAAGAAATGCAAGAAGCACTACATGAACTTTATGAGGAATTTGTTAGCGCTTCTAAAACAAATAAATCCCTGAAGAAACGACTTTCTTTACTTGAAAACGATTTTGAAAAATTGGAAAAAGAAAATGAAATACTTAAACAAGAAAACAATTTTTTTGGAAAAAGAAGCGCTGACAAACCAGAAAGCTCATCGAGTGAATGTGGGTCTTGCAAAACTTTAAAAGAGCATGTCGCTAAACTTGAGAGCACGGTCAAAGACTTAAATTTACTTCTTGACACTATGCATTTTTCTAAGGAAGGAATAGGTTTTGATAAAAAGAAAGCTAAAGATAATGTTGAGCCACCACCTAGACAATCATCTAAGGTTCAACATAAGAAACCTAAAAATGAAGATAATAGAAAACCTAGTCAACCGAAGGACACTAGACAACCTAGACTAAAACCTAGGAATGAAAATGGTCATAGTAGACAACCTAAGAAAAATGATTTTTCTCAAATAAGAAGAAATAATGCTAGAGCACCTAGAAGAGGCCAATTTCAAAATTTCCAAAAACCATCATTTTCACAAAATAGGAACAAAATGGTTAAGCCTTCTAACTATTATGAACCTAGGCACATGTACAACCCCAATGTAGTTTGCCATTATTGTAATAGGATAGGCCATATTGCTCCGGTTCGTTACACTAGGCATAGGCACCTATCACAAAATCAAGCACACTACCATTACACACCTAACACCCGAGGACCCAACGTAAATTGGGTACCTAAAACTCATTGATGTGTTTCATAGGTATGCTTGAAGGCATCGAGTGTACTTTGGTACCTTGATAGTGGATGCTCCAAACACATGACCGGGGATGCATCCAAGTTTCTCCAATTCAAAACCGCTAAAGGAGGAATTGTAGTTTTTGGAGACAATAGCAAGGGAAAAATTATCGGCGTTGGTTCATTAGGTAAATCTGAAAACTCCTCTATAGATAATGTCTTGCTTGTTAAAGGTCTCAAACACAATCTCTTGAGCATAAGTCAATTATGTGACAAGGGAAACCGTGTGACTTTCGATTCAAAATCATGCACAGTAGAACGCCTTAGCGACAATAAGGTCATTCTACGTGGTGATAGAATCGATAACATTTATATGGTTAACTTAGACAAATCTCCTTCCGACTTTGCTAAGTGCCTCATGAGTAAAGAGGAAGACACTTGGTTATGGCACCGAAGGGTAGCTCATATGAACATGAACCTTTTGAACAAATTGGTTTCACAAGACTTAGTAATTGGCATTCCAAAACTTAAGTTTGAAAAAGACGCCATATGTGATGCATGTCAAAAGGGGAAGCAAGTTCGGGCTTCGTTTAAGTCTAAGAAC